GTCTACGATTGGTTGGGCGTCGGGTTCCCGGGCGCCAAGTATCGGGCTACATCTGTACGCGCATGTACACAAATATACACATGTGCATATACATAAAGTTGTTGTGAGTAGGAGAGCTGGTTTTGAGGGGAGCCAGAAGGGTTTCACCTAAGCTGTTTGTTTCTCTCTCTCTCTCTCTCTTTTTCCCTCTCTTTCTCTCTCTCTCTCTCTCTCTCTCTCTCTCTCTTTCTCTCTGTCTCTCTTTCCCTCTCTCTCTCTCTATCCCTCTCTCTCTCTCTCTCTCTCTCTCTCTCTTTCTACTCACACGTGAAGTCATGCCGCACGCACGCCTCGGAGGTCGCCAAGGGCAAGAGGGACCCCAGGACCGTCCGCGGCCCCAGGACCGACGGCGCCACAGCTCGGACCGAAGGGGCCCCAAACAGGGCGACCGCCGAAGGGTCCCCCAGCTGCCGCACAACCTGTTTGAGGCCGCACGCACGAGACGAGGGCCGAGATGTACACGTGGTGGCCTCATTCCAAATTTCAGCCCCTGGTATGGCCGTGAGAAACTTTCCCGAAACCCCATCACGAGACCTTACTCAAGGCGCACCCCGTCCCCAAAAGGACACGGCCCAACAGAGGCCAGGCGGAGGGCCCCCAAGGGGCCCACACCCGAGCCCAGCAAGGGCCAGGACCCGAACAAGGCGACAGGGAGCCAGACCAGGGCCGACAGGGGAGGGGACGGTGTTAAGGCAACGTGAAGGTTGGGAAGAGCACAGCTCTAAGACAAAAAAATAAGTCAATACTTGCACAGAGGTGCAAGGAAAACGAACGTTTACAGCGAGGCAGGGACCCTCGCAAACTCATCCGCACGCTGACTCAACGCACTGACGAGGTTCTGGTCGAGCACCTGCTGTGCTAGAACGGCAAGCCCGTCACTTATGTAGATGCGGGCGGTTCGGGCGTCGCTCCATCGCCACAGTCCTCGACGCGTCGCCATGGGCCATCACGTCGCGCGTCGCGCCGCCACGGCGCAGGCTGCAGGGCTCCAGGCCCAAGGGCTGCAAGCCCAGCGCCACGCAGCCCTGTTCGAACAGGCTGCGTTACTGGGCCCCCGCCCCATCCAGGAGCCCGGTGCCAGCACGCCCGCGCCCTCTCAACAACACCAGAGCGCGGCCCACGACAGGATCGTCGACGACGATGCTATTCTGGGCTCCGCGCCCGACGCCACTCTTCGACCATGGGAGGGCGATGACACCGGCGCCCCTCGCACCGACCGCCGCGCGTTCGCAGGCCATCGCGAACATCTCCCCAGCGCGCACGAAGCAGTGGAAGGCGGCGACCGCGACGATGGCCACGTCGCGAAGGCCCTTGACCCACATCCAGCGGCCAAGCGCTAGGAGCATCCCCGAGGTGAGCGGCGGCACGCGACGGGGCATCTCGGCGCGACACCACGCGCGGAACAGGTCCTAGTCGTCTGGAAAGACTCGCCTGCGGGTTAAGGAGAATCACACGCCGCTCAGCGCGTCGCCTGCGAGGTCCCTGCCCTCGCCCTCCAGCCAGGGGCGATCCAGGTAGAGGCGCAACTGCTCGCCCAGCCGGCGCGGCCCCACCGCCAACGGCCAACCAGACTGCCCGCTGCTGATGCCACGCAGAAAAACAAGCAGCGCGAAGATAACGAAATCGCGTTCGGAGCACAACTCGCTGGAATCGAAGAGGCCCGAGCGCTCGACGCGCCCGGGCCCCGCTCGCCTGGTCTGGACAATGGCGAAGACGTCTAGGCATTGCGGCTGGGGGCGCCAGCCGGGTTCTCACCGCTTCGACAGAAACACCAGACGGCCACGCTGCCCGAGGCCATCTCCAACGCCGCAACTTTGCGAGCCACTCGATTCAACTGTATACCCGAACGATGCTTCACAAGGACGGAGATGGACACCTGGCTGTCCAGCAAACGCAGAAACTTGCGCTCGAGGTTCTTCCCCGCACGAAGACGCCACTTGAGCGCCGAAAGGAATGCCCCTCTAATTCGTGAATATGAGCAGCCTCACGCCATCTCAATTTCATCGCAGTTCGCCGGCGCCACCAGCCGGGGGGAATGGGCTGCCTCGGCCACCCCGACGAATGAAACTACTCGCCCGTGGACACGCGGACGTCGCTGCCCTTGGCGCCGGTAGATCTCATGACATCGAGCACCAGGGCCCGCTCCGGGGCGAACCCACGAATGACGAGGAAGCCTGCTGAATTCGGTCGGGTCTTGTCGCGCAGCTCGCCCACCGACGGCGGCGCCGACAGGTAGCCCCACTGCGTTGCGAGGTGCCCGAGCCGCCACCCAACCACCTCGACGTGGAACGCGTTGCCGAGGGGTCCGCAGCGCACATGCTCCGCCCCCCGCGGGTTGTCCTCGAGCACGCGAGGCGACGGCTACCTTGGCAAGGCCCTTGCGGCGCCCCATGACCACCTCCCTCTCCTCGGCCGAGGGCGGACGAGGCTGGCCCTGGTCGAGGATGCAATGCTTCTCGATGCACTGGCACAGCGGCAGGCTGGACTCGTTCTCGGCCCACTGGGCCAGCGCTGCGTCGTCGCAGTGGGCGACGCCCGCAGGCCTGGGCCGAGACTCTCGTGGCGCACTGCCGCGGGGAGGCGAGCTGCAGGGCCCGCGCCATTGGCCCGCAACGCGCCTGGCGCAAGCTACGTGGAGGTCGCCCCTGAGTCTGCATCCAGCTTGACCTGGAGCCAAGCACCGCGGTCGACCAACGCATGAGCGGCTGGGCTGCACAACTCTAACCTGCGCGTGCGGCAGGCCTGGCCGGCACGGATCCGCAGCGGCCGAACCCAGAGCAGCTCCGACACTGCCTGGACGTCCACCTTGTCGGCCGATTCGACGCTCTCGAAGAAGACCACGCACTGCCAGGGGGCGAAAACCTCCGACGCCACCCCAGCGCGCGGATGACCCCCACGACGAGGCTGGACCTCGGGCCGCGCAAGCCCTTCCTGGCGACGTCGAGCCTGCTGAGGCCCTGGCAGGGACCCCCCCCGCGACGAAGGGCTCGCGGCCTCGGGCGCAGCCCGCCTCGATGGCGAGCAAAAGCGTCCGAGCGATCTTCGCGGCATCCCCCAGCTCCTTCACGTTCGGACAAGCATTCCTCGCAACGCGCGAGGCAGTTGGGTCGATCTCCGCCGAAGTGCACCACGGCGTCTCCAGCCCAAGCGCGCCCAAGTTCTCGCGGGCGCCACCGACGCCGTCGAAAGGGGCTGAGGATGACGACCTACTCCTCGCTGGCCTGCCATGCGACACGCCCGATCCGCTCGACTGCCTCTTGACCTGCCTTGGATAAACCACGACTGATGCACACACCACCGCCGCCCGGCCGGCGTTGGAGCACGAGACGACAGGCGACGCATGCAGGCGCAGGTCGACGCGGAAGAGCGGCGAGAGCAACATGGCCAGCAGCGGCTCAATCAGCACAGCGAGAGGCACAGCCCAAGAGCGATGCGAGCGAGACGTCCACCTCCAGACTTTCTCGAAGCGCGCCACCCCAGCGCGTCGGCGACCACGCGGACCCAGCGCCCCAGCAATCCGCCAGCGCCGCCCGTTGCGCCAGGCCGCCCGAGGACCCGCGGGGTAAGCGATATGAGCTTGAGGACGCTCCCGCGCGGCACCTCCTTCCTGCCAAGGCCCCCATCGACGCGGTCGCCAAGAGCCCGCACCTCGGCGACCCTGAGCACGTCCTTGGCAGGCACGCCCGGCGCCCCACGGCGTGCGTGAGCTTCCCTGGCAGCGACAAGCAGCGGGCTGACGGCGCCCTCGAGCACCTCGCCGTCCTCCCTCGCGACGATCTCCTGCGCCTCCTGGTTGTCTGCGTAGACCTCCCAGGCTGTGACCTCCTTCGCGAGGGCCGCGGCGGTCGCACCTACGTCCGGCCCCCCTGGGTAAGCTGGCATGGGGCTTCCAGCCCCAGCGCAGGATGTCGCGGTGGATGTGCCGCGAGATCCCCGTCGCCGAGATCCAGCCCATGGCCGCGGCGGCGCTCGCCACTCGGGCGGGCGCCCAGCCCCCCTGGCACTGCAACGTGGAAGGCCGTGAACCCCCGCCAATAAGGAGGCAAGCTGAGCACGCAAAAGAAACACTGCCGATCCGAGGAGGCCCACAACATCATCTCGCGCGCGAGCAGAGCGATGGTCGACCACTGCGACGACAGCGGCAGCTGACGCACGTCACCGCCCACGACTCGCTGCACGACGTTCAACGGGGCGAGGTCTGAGGGCGCGGCCGAAGGCACCGCCGCGAAGGGCCAGCGAGCGCCCGGTGCCCTTGCGGACGCCAAGCGCCCCGCACCCGTCGACGCGGCGCACGTCCTCCGACGCGATCGGCCCCACAAGTCCACGATCCCACGCGACACCGACGAGGTCGCGCCGCGTCTGGCGCGGAGCCCAGTCCTTCGAAAAGGGAACCCGCGCGGGGCGCACCCCCTGCGGCAGCAGGAGGGAGTCCGCGTCGAGGAGGGCCTCGCGGACGTTGCCCTCGCAGAGCGCCACTGCGCCCACGGAGGCGGCGATGCCCTTCGGCGGCACCGCCCGCTCCACGGACAGCGCCTCGGCCGCCCAGATCCTCGCCGTCGTAGGCCGCCCGCTTCTTGGCCAACTCCGCACCCCAGTCGGTCGGCGAGAGTGGCTCGGGGCAGCTCTTGCGGAAGAAGACCGCTGCACGCGCGAGCCCCCGCGCGCATCTCACTGCGCGGGGCTCACCGGGCCTGCCAGGGCGAGCCGCTCCTCCGAGGCCGCGCAATTCTCGCGCAGGTAATGGGGCCCAATGATCATCAGGTAGACGCACTGCTTGCACGCCGATCTCTGCCGCGCGCGGAGCTCATCGCCACGTCGTCACCAAGCGCAAGAATAGGGAGAGGGAGTAGGTCACGTTGCCCCCTTTCAGCCCTAGGCTGCGGCCTGCCCCCAACAGCTGCGACCTCTCGCGCCACCTTTCCGAGTCGAGCGGGCACGCAACTGATGGGCCCCAGCAATACCTGAGGCGCGTCTGCGGTCTCATACTGCTGGACGCGCGGAGCAGCAGCCGCCGCGGCGGGGGCAGGGCGCGAGACCCCAACGGCGCCCCCGACATCGCTCTGGCCCGCAGCCCCAGCCTCCGCGAAGCCGCCAGCAGCGGACGCGGCAGCGGCCAGCAGGGCGGGGCGAGCCGCACTGCTCGGCGCCTCTCCAGCAGAACCACCTCCAGAACCTCCAGCCGCGGCAGGCAGGCCCACAGCCAGCGACCGCGGCCCTGCCCGCGACCCTTGCCCTTGCCACGGCCGCGGCCGCGGCCTGGCCCGCGGCCCCTCGGCCTCGGCGACCGGAGGCGCCGGGGCCGCGTTGCCTCAGGCGCACTCTTGGCCAATTGCGGCCCCCTGACAGGCTGAGTCGCGACCTGAGCTGGCAGCTCGGCCGGGCCGCTCCCTGGCTGGCGGCCCAGGCCGCGCCCCATTGCTCGGGCTCGGCGCTCGCCGCGGAGACGGACTCCTCGCCTGACTCGGCGACGGGAGACGCGCAGGGGCCAAGAGGACCCGCTGCAGCCGCGGCCTGGCGCCTCGCCCGCGGCCGCCGCGGCCGCGGCGCCGACGGCGGCCCGACGAAGCGCCGCGGCGCCCTGACGAAGCCACGGGGGAGCTCGGCGCGCCCGCTGGGCCGGGCACGCGGCGGGGGGTCGCCCCAGGGCAGGAGCGGCCCCCTGCCCGTCGCCCCTGCGGAGCCCCTAGCCAAGCGACCGCCCCTGCGCCCGCGTCCGAAGGTCCACGAGCTTCGCCTTCATCAGCGCGCGCCGAGCCGCCGCTTGCTGTGCGAACGTGCTCACACGCCCGGGGGTCGCCTCTGCGAGCTCGAACTGGCTCGCCACGCCCCAGCCCCTGACCCGCGCGCTCGTCTCCAGCGCACTCAGCCCCTGCACGATGAGGGTGTCTCCCAGCTCGGGGAGGCGAGCTTGGAGCAGCGCATCGATCGCCGACGCGACCGCCCTCATCTCCTCGACGGCGCAAACACCGATCGTCAGCTGAGGATGCTGGCCGAAAAAGATGCTGGCGAGGTGCGCCAGTACCCTCGCCAGGCTCGACCCCGATTGCGGACCCGCCCCCTCCCGCCCCCATGGGGAAACGGGCCATCTCCCCCAGGCTGGCCTTCAGCAGGGTCCCGGGCTGCCCCCGGGCGACCTCCTAAATCCTGCTGTTGCCTGAGCTGGAGGGGGCGTCGCGAAAAAGCGGGTCGGCGTCGGCGTCGTCGCCGTCGAGCAGCAGGCCTGCTCGCCGCTGCCTCCTCGCAGCCACTGCGGACAGGCCGACCTTGCCAGTGGCCTTCCGCTTGAGAGCCCCCCTGAGCTTTTCGACCTTCGCCGCGAGCTTCGCCGCCTCGGAGGTGGCCGCTCTCCCTGCGCCAGCGCCTGCAGCAGCAGCAGCAGCCGCGGGCGCGGGTCCGAAGATGACCTGCCGTCGCACCGACGACTCGGCGATCGCGGCCGCACTGCGGACCCGAAGCGCGTCCACGTGGCGGGCGGCCCGGTCACCTGCACTAGCGCGGCAGGACTCGCGCGAGCCGCAGCACAGGTGAATGACCGGCGGCCGCGCCCATACGTCGTTGAGCACTGCCGTCGCCATCAGACTCGACGCACCCGCGAACTTGGCCAGCCCGAACGCGCCGAGCGCGTCGCCAGCCCACTGCAGCCCCAGCTCGAGCACCGCGGCGCCCTCCACCATGCAGTGCACGTCGAAGGTCGGGATCTCGATCACCGCCCCGGGCCCGACGCTGAGCTGCGCGAGGGTCGCCGCCGACAGCTCTGCGTCGAGCCAGCCCGAGGCCGCCGCTGGGGCAGCAGGCAGAGGGGCAGCACCAGCGCCCAGGATCCCCGCAAAGGCCAGGCGGCACGCCCTGGGTCACGGGCCCAGCAGGGACCACGGGCACGCCCAGGCCCAGGGGCGGGCCTGCCGCTGGCCGAGCCGCCGCCGCGAACGCGGCGCCCGGGTGCGCTCCCACGCCCGCGCCAGGCGCCGCGCACCCGCCAACGGCCACAGGCGGCGCCACGTCCGCGGGCCCCGCCGCGGCCTGCTGGAACCCGGCCACCGCAGCCTAGATGCCCGCGTCCAGACCGCGGGCCACCTGCGCCTGCCCGCCCCTCTCGCGCGTCGCCTCCTCCTGCGCGCGCGGCCGCCACGATGGCCTGGTGCAGCCCACGCCCGGCGACGCGCGCACGGCCGCCCCTGGCTGCAGGAGGGGGCGCCCCGCCGAGCATGGGCGCGCCCGCGGGCGGGCCAGCACCCAGCACACCACCGCCAGCGCCTCCAGGCGCGAACAGATGGCCCACGAGCGCCAACACGCCCGCAGCAACGCCGCCGCGGCCGCGAGCGCCGCGGCCGTGCCTGCCAGCGCCGCCGCCAGCGCCGCGTCCGCCGGCGCCGTCGCCGCGCCCGCGCGCCAGGCCACCGCGGCCTCCGCCGCTAGCGCCTCGGCCGCGTCTGGCACCGCGCCCGCCACGGCCGCGCCCACCGCCGGCCTTGGGCGGCATCGCGCGGGCTCCCGCACAGGGGGTCCCACAGGGGCCCCGGCGGGGCCGCGCGCGAGCCCAGAGCGGGAACCGCTTTTGGACCCGAGAAAGCTACGTTAGCAGGAGGGAGAGGCGTTCCCTCGGCCCGCCCTCTCAGCTCCTTCCCTCTGAACTAACGGTCGTAAACGATGTAGTTGTACCTATCTATATATATATATATATATACATAGATATACACGTATATATATATATATATATATATATATATATATATATATATATCCACAGACTCGGAAACATTTCTCCTTACGGCACAACAACACCCCAAAAACAACCGAACGACAAACGAAACCTTCCGCACCCGACCCCGTCCGCCTCGCCGCCGGACATGTGGTCCAAACACCCCCCATCAAATTCTGAACGAACTCGCGCCGGGAGGGGGGAGGCTCTGGGTGGATCCACTCCTTGAACTAAAATTACCTAACAGCGAAGACTGATAGGTTTCTAGTAGTGTCAAAAGAAAGCATCTTGACTCCCCAAGGGGGTCTGGGCGGGTGCCGTGGAGAAACCGCGGAAGTAGTTTTAAGCAAACAGTTACACATGTCGTGGTCTTCGAGGTCCAAAAACTCCATTCCTGGGCCACATTCTGAATGCCCGGAGCCAACTGTAGGCCACTTCGTGGTCTTCGAGTTCCCAGAACTCCATTCATGGGCATGATTTTGAATGCCCGGAGCCAACTGTAGGCCACTTCTTAGTCTTCGAGTTCCCAGAACTCCATTCCTGGGCATGATTTTGAATGCCCGGAGCCAACTGTAGGCCACTTCGTGTTCTTCGAGTTCCCAGAATTCCATTCCTGGGCCACATTTTGAATGCTGAGGCAGGCTGATGCTGAGGCTGAGGCAGGCTGAGGCTGAGGCAGGCTGAGGCTGAGGCCGAGGCTGAAGGCAGACTGAGGCTGAGGCTGAGCAGGAGGCTGAGCTGAGGCAGGCTGAGGCTGAGGCTGAGGCAGGCTGATGCTGAGGCAGGCTGAGGCTGAGGCTGAGGCTGATGCAGGCTGAGGCTGAGGCAGGCTGAGGCTGAGGCCGAGGCTGAAGGCAGACTGAGGCTGAGGCTGAAGGCTGAGGCTGAGGCTGAGGCTGAGGCTGAGGCTGAGGCAGGCTGATGCTGAGGCAGGCTGAGGCTGAGGCTGAGGCTGATGCAGGCTGAGGCTGAGGCAGGCTGAGGCTGAGGCCGAGGCTGAAGGCAGACTGAGGCTGAGGCTGAAGCAGGCTGAGGCTGAGGCTGAGGCAGGCTGAGGCTGAGGCTGAGGCAGGCTGATGCTGAGGCAGGCTGAGGCTGAGGCTGAGGCTGATGCAGGCTGAGGCTGAGGCAGGCTGAGGCTGAGGCCGAGGCTGAAGGCAGACTGAGGCTGAGGCTGAAGCAGGCTGAGGCTGAGGCTGAGGCAGGCTGCAGGCTGAGGCTGAGGCAGGCTGAGGCTGAGGCTGAGGCTGCAGGCTGAGGCTGAGGCTGAGGCCGAGGCTGAAGGCAGACTGAGGCTGAGGCTGAAGCAGGCTGAGGCTGAGGCTGAGGCTGCAGGCTGAGGCTGAGGCTGAGGCTGAGGCTGCAGGCTGAGGCTGAGGCTGATGCAGGCTGAGGCTGAGGCAGGCTGAGGCTGAGGCGAGGCTGAGGCTGAGGCTGAGGCTGAGGCTGAGGCTGAGGCTGAGGCTGAGGCTGAGGCTGAGGCTGAGGCTGAGGCTGAGGCTGAGGCTGAGGCTGGCTGAGGCAGGCTGAGGCTGAAGCTGAGGCTGATGCAGGCTGAGGCTGCGGCAGGCCTGAGGCTGAGGCTGAGGCTGAAGGCAGGCTGAGGCTGAGGCTGAGGCAGGCTGAGGCTGAGGCAGGCTGAGGCTGAGGCTGAGGCTGATGCAGGCTGAGGCTGAGGCAGGCTGAGGCTGAGGCCTGCTGAAGGCAGACTGAGGCTGAGGCTGAAGCAGGCTGAGGCTGAGGCTGAGGCAGGCTGAGGCTGAGGCTGAGGCTGAGGCTGATGCTGAGGCAGGCTGAGGCTGAGGCTGAGGCTGATGCAGGCCACTGCGACTGTCATCGCGAATGCGATTACGACTGCGAGAACAGCAGAATTCTACAACTGGATTCTCATCTGAATCTTAAGGGGAATGCTTCCAGATACGCTCCTACACATCGCTGTCGGGTTGCTTTGCCGGGATAATTTTATTGCGGAGAGTGGGTGGAGCCTGGTTTGGGCGATTCTGCTCGGGACGTCCTCAAAATCTGCCTGGTTTGGGTCCTGGTTTGGCTCGGTTGGGCGCCGCAAACCGCATGAGACATCCTCCGAATTTGCATGGTTTGGCCCCTGGTTTGGCATGGTTTGGGCCCGGTTTGCCTGACACGTCCTCTTAATTTGCTTGATTTGACTTGGTTTGGGCCAGGTTTTGCATGAGACGTCCTCACAATTTGCCTGGTTTGGCCTGGTTTGGACACGGTTTTGCCTGACACTCGCAATTTACCTGGTTTGGCCTGGTTTGGGCCTGGTTCTGCCTGAGACGTCCTCACAATTTGCCTGATTTGGCCTAGTTTGGGCCCAGTTTCGCCTGAGACGTCCTCGCAATTTGCCTGCTTTGGGCCCAGTTTCGCCTGAGATCTCCTCCCAATTTCCCTGGTTTGGCCTGGTTCCCGATTTCGCTTGGGACGTCCTCGCAATTTGCCTGGCCTGAGACGTCCTCGCAAACTGCCTGCTTTGGCCTGGGTTGGGTCAGACTTCGCCTGAGACGTCCTTGCAATGTGCAAGGTTTGGCCCTGGTTTCCGCGAAGTTCGTGCAACGCCCCTGGAACACACATACTGGCCCACAGTCCGCACTGTTGCGCTACAGTATAACAGGGGCAGTGGGTGTGGACATCCGAAGCGCAGTGTGTTCGGCCAGCCACTGCACCACATAGTGCAACCATCGTTCACACAAATCCTCTTGTTATGAAGCATTGGACCATGTGGCGGCGTAAGAGA